ATGGACTTGTGGGCGTGGGGGCAAGATCTTGAACTTTCAACTGGGTGGGGAAAACCGGGAAGCTTTCAGATTCGGGGTTTCCCCAGATGTGCCAACACGGCTCTCTTCATAAATTGGAACTTTGAGCAATACTTTGCCTTGGATTTTGATTTACTTTTGGATGCTCTTTGGAACCCTGACGTTTGTGTTTATAGCACAATCGCGCCTGATGTCCCTCAAAACTGTAAGGCTCCTGCAAGGATGAAGTAAGAACCAGGATAATACCAGGGTAATCTACCCAAACACAATGGCAACCAAGGACGAGCTTTCCTTTGCAGATTTGGTGAAACAGGGCATTCATTTGCAAGCTGTAATATTTGATGGATCGGCTGTTTCCTTCCTGCAGAGATGCTGCATTGCAGCATACAAGCAGAACACAAAGCCCTGGATATTCTCTTCTTGGGCATGGGAAGGTTGTGTGCATGGGGGGGGGGGTCGGGTGTTTCTGAGTCCTATCCTACAGCAATCTTGAGTTTCCCATGTTGCCGTGTCCACTTGCTCTATCTTAGAGGAAATTCTGATTTTCAGTTGAGAGAAAGCCTTTCTTGGAGGAAGACCAGACCCAGTCGGATTCTGCTATGTCACTCAGGCAGCAAGGCATGGACTGTCTTGCTCCAAAAGGCCCCCTACGTGCTCTGATTCATCTCCTGCGATCTCCTGGGGATTCATAGCTAGCAGCCAAAGATTCTCCTTCCTACCTTCCTTGATCCTCCTTCCCTCCCCTTCTCCCTCCACCTTTCCTTTCTCCATTCTCCTTCCTTCCTTTCTTCTTTATTCCCTCCCTCGTCTTTCTCCCTTCCTTGATCCTCCCACCCCATCCCTTTCTCCCCCTCTCCCTTCTTTCTCTCTTCTTCCTTCCTTGATCCTCTCCCTTTCTTTCTCCCTTCTCCTCCCTCTCCCTTCTTTCTCTCTTCTCCTTCCTTCCTCCCTCCCTCCCCTCTTCCTTCCTTCCTTCCTTCCTTGATCCTCCCTTCCTTTCTTCCTCCACCCTTCCTTCCTTCCTCATCATACTTCATTGAGGGAAGGAAAATGCTTAAGAGCATAAAAAGAGTTTTTTGAATTAAACCAAATCCAATAATTTGTTTCCTGCAGCAGCTAGCTAAGTCAATGTTTCTCAATCAAGTTGCTTCGCTCCTTGATTAGTTTCCACCCATTGCTTCTTGTTCTGCCCTCAGGTGCCCAGGAGAATAGCTTGACTCCCTCTTCTTTGTGGCAACCCCTGAGATATTGGAAGACTGCTATCATGTCTCCCCTAGTCCTTCTTTCTATTAAACTAGNCCTCTTCTTTGTGGCAACCCCTGAGATATTGGAAGGCTGCTTATCATGTCTCCCCTAGTCCTTCCTTCCATTCAACTAGACATCATGAAAACACCCAAAATGGCAGCTGTGACTTTAAGTTTGTAGTCACTAACTTGCCACAATTAATTTACATTAATTCTTACTCCTGTTGGTAAGAATTGATGTAAATCTTCCCTACCGGCAGGGGTGGTATTCACTTACTTTCCCTACCGGTTTGCAAACATGAGAGTGTGCCCGTCGACACATGCAGATGGCTGTCCGCACATGCGCTTTGCAAGCTTGCACGCATGCGCACGACTTGAAAATGTGCCTAAATAGGACGGCATGGACCCAGGGTGGGTGGGCGGGGTCATCCGTGATTTTCACTAGTGGTTTGGGCGGACCAGTCCAAACTGGCTGAATACCCGCTCTGTCTACCAAGGATCTGAGGGCAGGACAAGAAATAACGGATGAAAATGTGTTAAAGAGAGCACCCACCTTGAATTAAGGAGAAATTAATGAGAACAATTAATCAGTGGGATAGCTTGCCTCCAGAAGCTGTGGGTGGTCCATCGCCAGAGGTTTTCAAGAAGAGACTGGACAGCCCCTCGTCAGAAATGGTATAGAGCATCTTGAGCAGCGGGTTGGACTAGAAGACCTCCAAGGTCCCCTCCAACTCTGTTATTCCCTTTTCTATCGTCTCCTTCCCAGCTGTTATCAGAGTATATCTTAAGTTAGGCTAACAGTTTCTTAGATCTGGCAAGATTCTGTCTATAGGTAAAGACATTAATCTTAAGTAACTCCATGTCATGCTTGGTTATTGAAGCCCAATAGATACTTGTTTGAAACTTGGCTTTTCCTCAAAACTCTTGGTTAGGTCACTGTTGTGGCCCAGCAGGAGCNATCCATCCATCAATCAATCAATCAATCAATCTATTATCTATCTATCTATCTATCTATCTATCTATCTATCTATCTATCTATCTATCTATCTATCATCTATCTATCATCTATATCTACCATCCATCCATCCATCCATCCATCCATCCATCCATCCATCCATCCATCCATCCATCCATCCATTATCAATAATCTATCTCTCAATAAAAGGGGCCAAGATTGGCAGGGGAAACAGAAGCGGGGATGGCTCCTGCCCCCAGTTTGAGTAAGGCTTAGTTCCTTTATTTATAACATCTGTACAGTTCCCCCCACCCCACCTTGAACCATTTATCAGAGCAAAGGGGGGGGGGATGTCATCCACCGTTACCTCCAAACTTTGCAATCAAAGGCTTTGGCTCCAGTTGCGATGCAGACCTGATGGAAGGCATTTCACAGGTGCTCACCGGAACGGAAAGATCAGGATTTATACGGATGGATCTAGGACATGTTTATTCTCGAGTTATGACCCATAAAACTTTAAATAATGCTCTGAACAAGTTTTTTGAGCCGTAGCCAGGAGCCCATTTAATTCTTTTTTGGGGGGCGAATGTCCTGGGAGGGAGTTGAATAATTTGATATGACATCAAATATAACTCAGTTCCTTCGGCGATGAGATATGACAGCTTCACGTAAGGACGGCAGTTTGGGATTTAGCCACTGAGGGAGAACTTTGAAGTCAATAAAAGTCACCTTCTTTTCTTTTATACAAGAAGCACATATGGACGATGGTTTGTGTAACCAGGAGCATCTTCTGTTTCTTCCGCTCGATTGTGTCTGATTTTTGGAAACTGTCTGGCAAGTCCCTGCAGTTTTCTTGGCACGTTTTTTTCAGAAGTAGTTTGCCATTGTCTCCTTCTTAGGGTTGAGAGAAAGACCCAACTGGCCTTTGTGCCTAAGATGGGAGTAGAATTCACAATCTACCATTTTCCAGCCTGGTGCTTTAACCACTACGCCAAACTGGCTCCCAGGAGCATCCGTAGGGAGGTCACAAATGGGAGCTGTGATAATGTTTGGAACCAGAGGCACTGGAGAAGTATCAGACAAATGGCTAATCCAACATCTTCTTAAAAACTTCCAGTGTTGGAGCATTCACAATTTCTGGAGACAAGTTGTCCCATGGGTTAATTGTTTGGTCAGAAAATGTCTCCTAAGGCCCAGGTTGCTTCTCTCCTTGGTTAGTTTCCATCATTTGCTTCTTGTCCTTCTTTCGGATGCTTTGGATAATAGCTCAACTCTCATCTACACCAAACTGGCTCTCATATTATCTCATATAATTTTGCCGTATCAAAATTATAAACTGAAAGGATTCATGTCGGGGGCTGGAGACCTTTAAATGTGTATCTTCTCTTCTTATTCCTAACCCCCAAAAGCAATTAATCTCTTGTGGACATCCTTACCTTCAGAATAGAATAAGAATAATATAGAATAAGAATAATATAGAATATAGAATATAGAATATAGAATATAGAATATAGAATATAGAATATAGAATATAGAATATAGAATATAGAATATAGAATAAAAAGAATAGAATAGAATAGAAAATAGAATAGAAAATAGGATAGNTAAGAAAGGTAGTTTTGGAAAGCTGGTTCTCAACCTTAATTCTTGCTCAAGACTCTGCTTTTAAGTGCAGGAGTATATTTTTCTAAAAGATTGCAACCGAGATATATTTATTTTTATTTGCCTTTGTGAAACATTTTTTGTTCACTACTTTTGTTTTAACAACAAACATGCTTTTTCCCTTGCCAGGTACTCAGTAGCTGGAGGGAGCAGCTCATCCCACTGAAGTCTGACCCCGTGGCCCCCTTTGCAACGTCAGTGGGGCACCTGCAGGCACCTGTTCTCAGGTTGCTCTTCCACAATTGGCAGGCAATCACATGGACATTTCTGGAAGTGCATCAACAGAAGAAGGTGTTTTAGCAAGAGCACTGTTTTTCAACTCTGTATAGTTTTTTTTTTTTAAATAATGCACATATTCAAAGGAGGTATCTTTATACATTTCTGAGATGTAAATTTAGGATTTCAGTTAGGAACTAAAGCTATTGTGAAATCTCAGGTATCTTGTGTTAAGTCATTGGCCTTCAGCTCAAGGATCCATGGGTGGGTGGCATTTCGATCTGAAATGTGTGCCCTAGTGGCACTGCCACCCTTTTCTTTGTTTTAAGGTTTTGTTTTAAGAAAGAAATGGAAGCCTGGAGTTCAACCCCATGTTCTACGTTTAATTTAACATGGATTGGGGTTTGAAAGAGTTGAAGGCAACCGCTTTAAGTAAAAAAAAAATCTGTGAATTAGATGTATTATTGGCTCTGTGTACAAATTTGTATATAGTCACTTTTTTACTGAAATTTGCTTGACATGCATACGGATTCCTCTGTACAAATTGCCAAGACCTTCTGTAGATGATACTAGTGAGGTAAATATTTTGACAGATAGATCAACTTATTATAGGCTTGTCTTTGTTTCTATGAAAATTTTAAATTGTATTATAGCAGGGTTTGCTTGACCTTTGTTTATAGGTCAGAAATAAAGCCGTGCTATAAAAATCCAGTTTATACCTCAGATGCAGATTTTTTTTTGTTACACAGTAGCAATTTTTTTTTTTTGGTTTCTAATCATGGTACGAAACTGATTGTTTTAATTTAGGACATTATATTCTTTGGAGTTCTCTAGTTTTGCTTATCTTCATGGTTTTATATCTTGTTTAAAATTGTGCCAATCCAAAGTTTAAATTTGTTTTGAATAGTTTTCTTTTGGAATTAATCTTAACATATAACTGAAAAAGGCACTTTTTTATATGCTTCCTAGAAATCCTGGATAAATAATGACAGTTTTGCAAAATGCTGGTTATAAAAAGTATTTTAAAAATGTGAGCAACTTTAGTTACAATCATTGAAATCAAAATTTGGGCTTAGTTTAATATCTGAAATTCATTGTGTGGTAGAGAAAGATATATGAAATTTCATTAAGATCTAAAATAGAAAGCTGCAGTTCACTTTAATAGGTAAGAACTAGTACAGTATAACTCTTGTCTATTGTTAAAATAAATACATGATAGAAATCCCATCTGAATTTTTATTTTGAGATATTTGGAGAAAAGTGGAATAAAAGTGTAGTTAAAAGGGTGTGATTAGTCAAGAATTTTAGGAGGGGATTGCTCTTTGTTGATTTACAACAAATTAATGCTTTCAATATTATTACACTGTTTTGATTTCAACATGAAATCTGTATTGTAATCCTAAAAAAAAAAATAATAAACACAGTAACTCTAAAAGACAACTTGCTGTAGAAGATTTAACCCTATGACCAAGCCTTTGGTGAAAATCTCCTTTCTAATTTGTTTTGAGAAAATCATAATAATGGAATAAAGGATGGGCACATTGTGTCAATGGAAATGAACTCACTGCATGTTTAGAATCTATAATATCCTCTTATCAATGTAAAGATTGAACAATTTACTAAATTGAGTGGAAATAATATTTTGCTGCCTTGTGTTTGACTCAGCTATGTTGCCATCCCATTAGAGTGGGTGTGATGTTAACTGGATGGATTTTGTATTAGTCTCTACCCCAGTGTTTATAGTCTGTGAAATGTAGCATGATGTAAGCTACACATTGAATTAGGATAAGGTAGGTGAGATAACTCTCACGAGTTTTCAGCTAAGCTTGTATGCAGTCCCAGATCTGGTAACCTTTTAAGACTTTTGATTGCAAGAATGTTGACTTAAAGATTTTGTTAAATGGAAACCAAAAAAACCTCAATGACTTCCTCTTTAAAATTAGTAAATTAATATTTTGTCAGAGCTATGTTCTTCTACAGATATGGTTTTTCCAATAGTTTATTTTAAATCAGTTAAAAGGTTGCTATATTTATATTGCCAGTTTGCTGTTTTGAGCCAGTGCAGTTTATTTTAATATCAGTTTAATTGACTTAATCCCATATAAATTGTAAATAACCAATTTCGTTGTATTTAAGTACAATGACAATAAAGATTATACTTATACTTAAATACACATAGAATTTCAAAATGACATCTTGTTTGATATAAATGAAACAACTTGGTGAAAGCAAATTGTCTTTGCATTATATTGTAATCAAATTTAAACTAAAACACCTTTTGTTGTTTCTGGTCCATTTTTACTCTGACTGTTTAACTTTGCAATACTGTTTATTGATCCTTTAAATATTGTTTTAGAACTGTCCTAAAAAAATCCAGCATTGCAGTGTTGTATGTATTCAGGATTAGTCTTTGGCGGTTGATAGCAGTTTCCTGCATATTAAATAAGGTAATTTTTCTGTCGTTTTGCTAAAGGGCACCAAAATTTCCTGGTGTAGAGTGGACAAATTTCCCATTTTTCATAATGAAATTGCTAAGCAATCTGAAAGTAAGCCAAGTGTTTCAAACTGCAAAGGTTTTATATCTGGGTCTGTTGGGCCACTTTTTAACTATTAATTAGAATATATATTTCCATTGTAGCCACACACTTGTAAATGAACTCCTGAGACCACTGATTTTTCTTGTGAAATTGTGACAAGTTGCTCCTGTTTACTCACAACCGTTTAGGTGCCACCCTCCACCTCCCCCCACCCCGAATTCATTGCACTGTATTTTGATTGGTTCTTGACCCTTATATGAAGCATTTTGTATGTTACATAATTTTCAGTATTGATATTTTTGTAATAGTTTAGAACCTATTGAAGTTGCTTTCAATAATAGTGGAATTTTGCAGCCATTAGTGCAAACAGGGGTGCGTTGTATATTGGCTTATATATGTATCAATGGATGGAAGGATTTAATTGTGAAGTTGAAGGATAACAGGTATGTTGGGATGCAAAGTCCTAAAATCGGCTTCCTCTCTCATATAAAGGCAGTGAGCCAAAGCACAAACATAAAAATAGACTTCATTGTATCCTTGTCAATCTGCTACTGAATTGAAGTCATAAATAACACAAAATGGCAAAGCAGTTATTTTGTCATTTTAAAGCCTTACTGATACACTATTATAAATGTTGATGGGCAGGAGTCCATTTGATGACACGAATGAAATTTTTCTAGTCAGCAATTATTTATTGTGGGTTTGGAATGCTGTGAAATACCTGTAGAAAGCAAACAACTGGATCTTGCAAAGTTACATGTAGACTTTTGTGACTTTTCCATCTATTGATCCCCCTCCCCTCTTTGGCACCCATGTATATGGACGTATACAAAATCTTAGTAACACTTGTGCACCTGACAAAGTAGATTAGTCCAGCAATGTGCAAAGGATGTTTCTTTAGTTTTCATTTCCAAAATTTATAAAATGAATTAGCAATGTAACCTATGGCTCTTGCATTATGTCCAAACAAGTCATTTTACACAGGGGTTTTGGGGTGGAAGGTGGAGGCTATTCTAGCAAACATCTGTGCATATATGATGCATAGAATGTTGAAAGTGCTTAAATTAGCAAATAAAATCCTCCTTTCCATTATATACACAACATAAAGGGTATATAACACTGTACACTAGAATGACTTGTAATATTTCAAAAAATTACACTAAGTATCCCAGAATATTTCCTGGAAAGTTTTCAATTTAAAACACTGTAGTAAATCAATAACACTGATCTCTAATCCAATTTATGCCATAATAAATTGGTTAAGATGTCACAAGACTTTATTTTTGCTCTTTTAGGTTAGCATAGTTACTGTTGTACATTATGGTGAACTAGAAATGTTCTTAATTAGAGATGTTTAATTGTTAGAGCCATAAATCAATTTTAAATGTCTTCAGATTTAAAATTATGGATACTAGAAAGAGAACAGTAATTGTATATTTCTGTCATCTAATAACTTTTAGTAGAGTCTGAATATACAAAACATCTACATACTTGAGGAATTCACAGTAGCTGGATAAAATATTCTAAGTATGAGTTGGATGCTTTTTTTAAAGAGAAGCATAAAATTATGATTTCCTTGCTGAATTACGGCAAAGGTCTAACTGGTCAACAGTTGCTTTTTGGAAATGCACAACATAGCAGTCTAATATCTGGCTTATTTTTTCATAAGCATCTGGGAATGCCTTTTTTAAATCTCTATCCATTCAGGTCCCATTTTTAGCCATCATGTGATATATGCAATGAAGACCTATTCTTTGATCAGGCTCTGTTTACTTCTGTAATTCTGCTGTTTATAACCTGTATACAGTATATTTGCTTATGTCAGATATCAACCTATTCTCAAAACCTTGTATGTTTCATGACACAGAAATAAAGAAATACAACCATTTTGATATGTCATTGAGCAGCGTATTTATATCACATACTTTACAAGAAAGTACACTTCAGAAGTTAGCGACACTTAAAGGGAAAAACAGGATCATAAGCTATTGTGTTATTGCAAGTCCAAGCACTATTATGGCTGCAGTGTTCTGCAATAACAGATGTAAATATTTTTATAGAATTGTTAAGTTGTATACAGATGGAAATATTGCCTAAGAATTTTGAGTGTTTCCCCCAGTCATGGCTAGACTAAAACAGAATTACAAAGGAGGTATATACTTTTTGAATCAGTTTTGATATAGGAAGTGCCATGCATATATGACTAAGTCTAGACTCACACCACATATGTGGTTATCAATTTTGCAGTCAATCAGCAAAACTGTCACATGTTTTCTTGACAAACCGCTGAGGATGGCTTGTGTCAGTCAGGGCTTGTTTAGTTGCTTTCTTTAGTTGTGTGTGTGTGTGTGTGTGTGATCAAGGAAATGACAATGCAATTGGCACAAACTGTTTCAGTTAATTAGTTTTAATTATTTGAAACCAAACATAGAAGTGCATAATCCCATTCGCGGAGCTGGGGTGGGTGTGGCCTACACATGACACATCTGACCCGCCAGCCGCCAGTTTGATACCCCTGGCATCCATATTGTAATCTGAAGTAAAATGGGGAATGGAGTAAAATGGGGAAAACCTTTATATGCACTTTCAGTGCCGTTGCTGCTTTATTTAGGAACATTAATGTTAATGTTAAAAAAGGCGGTGTGATTATTATATCTTGAATGGAAATCTAAACAGCAAGAGCTGAAAGCAAAAATAAATTTGTATAAAGCAATGTTCCTGCAAGAGGTCTCTGATAGGTAATAGAAAACAGTGACTAATTGATTTGTGCTCATGCTATTTATACCCTAAGCAACAGACAGTGGCAAATGCTGAAAACTTGTGCCACCCTTAGCTACCGTGGCTTCCCAGGCCAGGAAGCAAATCCAGCTCCTATAACCAGACCATTGCAAACCTTGTTTAACAGAAAAGGCACAAGCTAAGATAGTAAATAAGGAAGATGGTCATAAGTTTGCATGATTTTATATGAAACCCTCAAAATTGTATGCAAAACCTTCTCTAAATATAGTTTCAGCTGTTTTGGCTTTACTTCTTTCTTCTCCCAATCTATTTGTAGCTGTTTATTTCTCTAAGAAACAGAAGAAGCTGGGGAGGTTTCAACCAGACATAATGAGGTCAGAAGCAGCCTAGTTGACTTGGTTCATCTTCTTCCCACCACTTAAAAACAAAACAACAATTAAAAAGGAGTGGCTCTTTTATAGCAACAAGGGTCTACAGCCTTCCAGGATTCAGCTTCAATTTCATGGTATAGCTGGAAAAAAAACACCAAACCACAGCCTTGGTGGTGGTGGTGGTGTTGCAGGAAGGGAAGAGGTATTGGAGAGAAAACCTTTTGAATCAACCCTGGATTGCAAAATGCATGTTGGGATGTGCAGGCCAAAGGAAGGCTCATGCGTGTGGCTAGACAACTTTTCATGGACTCACTTTGATGAACTTGCGTTAAGTTGCCCAAATCAGTTGCACACATAAATTATGTGATATCAATTATGTGCATTCAAAATAACATTTGTTTTGTAAAAGGCAAGAAAAAACATCTTCAAAAGAAACCCTCCAAGCTATAGAGTTTTTAAAGCTGTTGAGGTATTTTATTCCCTTTTCAGTAAGCAAATCTTAAAACATGTTTATACAACAGAGCCTCTATATTTGGCAAACCTGCTCTTAAAGCAAGAGATTGATTGATAACCCTTTCTCTTAAAATGTGCCACAAATGTGCTGGGATTCATATTACATCTAATAATACACAATAAATTTATTCCAACCGCTGGAAAATGTATATTCTCAGTCAAATCTTTAGAACAGCCTTTCTCAACTTGAGCGGTTCCACAAGAAGTCATTATTATATGAAAAAAATACTGTTTTTTAAACTTTGTGTATCATGCAATGCCAACACTCCGAAAGGTGGGAATTTTTATATGCTGCAACCCAGCTTGCTAATCATAGTAATGTACCGTGAGCTTTAGATAAAACAATTTTTATGCAACGGTTCTCGAGCCCTGAAAATTATTTCAGAGGCTTCCTCCAGGGGGAAAAATGGTTGAGAAAGGCTGTTTTTGGACTCTTTAAATGGGCTGGACATTGATTAAATGAACATATTTAAGGCTATCTAATTGCTTCCAAATTTGTACAGACAAAATATGAATTGATTTATAGTACCACTTATAAAGGTGCAGGAGCACAGAATATATTGGGACAAAACATTACAGAAACAGATGTTTCCTTTGAAGAGATGCACCTGCACCTGTTCTTATTGAAACACCAATTTTTCTGACAAAAAATTAATGCCATAATCCTTGTAGAACACAGATATTGACATTTTGTTACACAAATTATTATACCATCTTAAACTTCCTAAGACATTCTTACAAGTATTTCATGGGGTAAAATATGTAAACTTTTCTCAGGCATGATTTTCTATCTCAATATGAATTTTCATCAGAAAAAAGCAGGCAAACCTATCTGTCAGTATAGGAAGGAAATATTTCCAACTTCCAGAAGTGAGATGAATTGAACAAACTACATGTTTGACTGCCAGTTTTAATTCTCACAAGCAAATTGTAGAAACATCAAAAAGTAAAAGAACTTTATCTCGAAGATTTACGTTGAGGGGGTGAAGTGAATAGAAGATAAAAATAACCAAAACAAAAACCAGTCCAAAACTCATTTTGAGGGTCTGTATATTAAAGAAGAGGCATCTTGTTTTCAAGGAAATACAAAAAAAAAATGAAGTTGCTACAAAATTGGTCTATATATTTCAGGTGCAAATTTTTTGAGGCAAAGAAATATCTTTTGGCATTTGGCACTCCAAGGGACAATATTTTAATACTGGCACAAGCTAAAAAACCACACCAAAGAACAAATACAAGACATGAAACCCTCATGTGGCTGATATAGTAAACAAACCTGCTGAGGCATTATTCCAAAAGCTGATCCAAAACATTTTTTAATAGATTCGTGTTTTACTAAATCTTAAAAGGGGAAAATAAATTCAAATATCCTCTAAAAAAGCAGCAGTTGCTGGAATGAACCATTTGGAGTTCAGCCATCAATAAACATGGGATTCTTCATGACTTAATACACGGACCTGTGAGGCTGGGCCTGTAGCACTTCGGATTACCTCCATCCACCTAAGCAAGAAGAAAAACAAGCATCAGGACTTGCTACACGTCACAGGTGGGAAGCTTTTCTGTTGTGGATGTGGCTTCACAAAATATTTTTGCCTATTAGGTGAGTTTGGGAGAGCTCAATAGGAGGGGAAAAGGGAAGGAACCAGTGGTGGGATCCTCCCAGTTTCACAACCGGTTCTGTAATTGCACACTTTGTGTAGGTGCGTGCAGTTTGAAGAAATCTTCAGTGGTGGGTTCCGGATCCCGTTGCAACTGGTACAGTTGTAACAGGGCCTGGCGTCCAACACACGAATGTGCACATCGTGCACATGAACAGCGTGCGCATGTGTCCTTACCTCTTCCAATGCCTCCGCAATGCTCCAGCTGCTTGGCGGAGCGTCGAACAGGTGCCGTATGCTCCGTGTGCGTAAGCACCAAAGAGCTCAAATACAGGTAAGGAGCTCGGGCAGGCAAGTGAGCCCTCCAGAGCACCGTACTGGAACGGTACACGGTACTCCGGGCAGGCATTGGTACACCCGTATCTGGGCGTACCACCTGCAACCCACCACTGCTTCATTCCCAGGATTCTTCAGAGGAATATCACAACTGATTCACATAGCAATCCACTCTGCCATGCAAATCAGCTGAGAAGATAAAGATAGAAAAATAGTGCAGGCAGGGCGGTGGGCCCATCTGATTGTTGGGGCGAACCGGTTCACTTCCAGCTGATCGTTGGAGCTACCAGTTTGCCCAAACTGGTCCAAACTGGTAGAATCCCACCCCCGGAAGGAACAGATGGCTCTCTTCCTGTCTGCAAAATACATTCCCAATTCTATTCCAGACTGTTTTTCCAACAGCTGATCTGGTTGGCCACAACAGGATGGAGTTGGGGAAGAACAATGAAGGTAACTCTTCCCATAGGTTGTCCCAAAGACATAGGTTGCCTTTTCCATTCTAGTAGCCGTGCTAAACATTAAGAGGACCACAGTGGGATACAGAAAATAAAGTGAATACCAATCTTTGTTCCGCCCATTTCAAGTTCATCTCTCTGGAACAATCAATTAGGCATGGGAATTCTGATGGGATCTCGTATGGAAGAGCTTAAAACCCCCATTCTTAACAGTGTGATGGCAGAGGGGAAAAGAGTGTAGTAGTGGTTCTGTGCAAGAGGTTTCTCAACCTCAGCAGGCTTAAGATGTGTGCACTTCAACTCCCAGAATTCCCCAGCCATCATTACGTCCACACACTCTAAAGTAGTTGGAATTTGAGAAATCCTGCATTCAACCACCATTTGTAAACTAAATTTAGCTGTATTATACAGCAATGCACATTTATTTAAATGCATTTTGCTACAGAATATTTACATTTACCTTATAGAAAGTTTGAAAATTAGCAAGACCAGTACCACATTTTTCATTTTTTTTGTTAGATAGAAATGATTATTCAGATTACTAATGTTCTTGGCTGTTTCTTACTCTTACCTACCAATCCCATCCCAGATAATTTATGTCCTGCACAATCACATTTCAGTCTGTACGTGTAAATAAACGATCTATGGGCCATAATATCCTAAATATACATGTCTGGGTTGAAAGACAGACTAGCTTGGATCTAAGTCATGCACAGAACATTTTGTTCCCCCCCAGTATGAACTATACTCCTAACTTTTGTTTCTCAACAAAAATGAATCCCTTGTAACAACTTGTGGGGTATGAGCGGCCTTATACAATCTTCCCTTTCCTGGGTGAATAATTCTGCATACATTGCAAACACGATAAATTCTTTATATCAATGATTTAGTATTCTCATAAAAAACTATCAAAATATTTGGGGATTTTTTAAAATTACAATCCTTACTCCCCATTTCAAAACTTTATAGATAGCTCACATTTCCATTTCACAACGTTTTGATATTCTTTCACCAGATGTTACCAGATTTTAGTGCTTTTTAAAATGCTTGTGATGTCTTAAGACCAATATAAGATTTTGGAAACAATGCACGAGATTAGCTAAAATGTGATTTAATAATTTTGAGAGATTCCTGGGTCTGGACTGGAGAAGTCTGCACCCAACTTACATTTTGCAGGAAACAAACAATTTGATATTTTAGCTCCTTGACAGAACTCATGTTGCTTTATTTAAATTGGCTGTATTATGACAGTACTTATGACCCATCCATTTTTAATGATAGAATTTAACAGCATAGTATGTAGTAAAATTATAAACATACCTTTCAAATGTATATTCACTCTCCGCCCTAAAATAGTACACATGGGATTTGAAGTGTAGCTTAAAGACATAGTCTTTATTAATGTTCTCAGATTCAGAAGGAATGGTCAGAGAATAGCCAAGCAGAGGAAGGCTAGCTAAGGGATGATTGTCCTAAAAACAAAAGGCAAGAGAGATTGTGGCAATAGCAAAGGCCCCACTTCACAAATTGACAAAACTGCCTGCAAAGAGCTTCAAAATTATTTTCCTACCATCAAACCCCAGTATGTTCCAGGCAAAAAGACAAAACCCAGGAAAGTCCTCCCCCAAATGACATTGGCTTCTTATCTTGCACTATACAGATCAGGGGTGAAATTCAGCAGGTTGTGATACGTTCTGGAAATCCGGTAGCGGAAATTTTGAGTAGTTTGGAGAACCGGCAAATGCCACCTCTGGCTGGTCCCAGACGTGGGGTGGGAATGGAGATTTTGCAGTAAACCCCTGCCACGCCCACCAAGCCATGCCCACCAAGTCATACCATGCCCACCAAGCCATGCCCACC